ATGCGCCGGAAGGGCAATATCATTGACAATCTTTCGGCTCCATCACGTCGGGAAAAGTCCCGAAAATTGCCCCCTCACTTCTGTGGCTGCAGATGCAAGCAAGACCAGTGTCTGCGACTAACTAGATTATTGGGGTTTCGCGCTGTTCCATTATCGCGCCATTTGTTAGTCTTTGACCCCGTCTGTTTGACCCTTTCCCCTCATTTTTTTCGCCCTGGCCTGTTGGTACTTGGTTCAACTTAACCCCATACCCTCTTGCTCATCGCTGTCACTCCACTTCTCTAACTATCTATCTGTTCATCCCACCCTCTTTCTCTCTCTTTTCCTTTCTAAATCTAATGCCATATAGACCAACCCCTTCTAGATCCAAGTAATTCTCGAAGAAGCCATGATTGCCAAGAACCCCAACGGAAATACCGCGGTTATCCCGCTCCTGATTAACAACGAGTCCTCTGTGACCGAGACGATATTCGACGTTACGAGCCCCGCGACGGGTGAGGTGATTGACCGTTGCGCCGGAGCAACAGTCGACGATGCCAACCGTGCTGTCGCGGCCGCGAAGGCCGCCTTCCCTGGATGGAGCAAGACCAAGCCGTACGATCGCAGGGATATCCTCATTAGGGCTGCGGACATTATGCTCTCCCGGAAAGAAGAATTGATTCGGTATCAGATGGAGGAGACAGGTGCGGGACGTATGTTTGTGGAGAAAACCTTTATGCTGGGAGTCGGGTTCTTGAAGGACTTCGCGGCGCGGATCCCGTCTATCGAGGGTACAGTGCCGTCTGTTTCTGAAGATGGAGAGTGCGCAATGGTTATCAAGCAGCCATATGGCGTAGTATTGGGAATCGCGCCTTGGTATATTACCTATCCCCATTCCCACAAGGCATTAGCTCCCGCGTCAGTCTCATGGTCGCTAACATTATCACCTCGGTAGGAATGCTCCCTACATCCTTGGAACCCGTGCAGTCGCTCTACCCCTCGCCGCAGGTAATACAACGATTCTGAAGGGATCAGAGCTGTCCCCCAAGTGTTTTTGGGCAATCGGAGACATCTATCGCGAAGCTGGTCTTCCTGCGGGATGTCTCAATGTCCTTTACCACCGTCCCTCGGACGCAGCGGCGGTCACGAATGCCCTCATCGCTCACCCGGCTGTGCGCAAGATCAATTTCACCGGTAGCACCACAGTGGGCTCAATCATCGCGTCCACTGCCGGCAAATATACGAAGCCGGTACTCCTCGAACTGGGAGGCAAAGCCTCGGCCATCGTCTTGGACGATGCCAACCTGGAAAAGGCCGCCATGTGCTGTGCACTGGGATCCTTTATGCATGTAAGAGCTTAGACGTTGGTCAGTTTAGCATAGAATCGCCTGCTGATTCGAACATAGTCCGGACAAATCTGCATGTCGACGGAACGCGTCATAGTACAGCGGTCTATTGCAGACAGGTTCAAGCAAATGATGACGGAGGCGGTGGAGAAAGTATTCGGCAAGCACGGGCCGGCATTGGTCCTCGTTGCACCTGCTGCAGTGAAGAAGAACAAGGAGCTGGTAGAGGATGCGCTTGCCAAAGGCGCCAACCTTGTCTATGGCGACACCGCGGCCGTTGACTTGAACAACAGCAGCATGCGGCCTGTGATCGTTGGCGATGTCGCCAAGAACATGGACATGTACTTCACGGAGTCATTTGGCCCGACTGTATCCCTCATTGTCGTTGACAGCGAGGAAGACGCTGTGACACTGGCCAATGACACGGAGTACGGCCTTACTTCGGCCGTATTTACGGGTAACTTGTTCCGTGGCCTCAGGGTTGCCAAGCAGATTGAAGCAGGGTAAGTTATGTTGGTCGAGATCGCTCTCCGTCTGATCCGAAAGTGCCATCTGCTGACCCCTTTTGACTATGAATAGAGCTGTACACATCAACTCTCTGACCGTGCACGACGAACCTGTTCTTCCCCATGGCGGCTGGAAGAGCAGCGGATACGGTCGCTTCGGAGGAACCTCCGGTTACGACGAGTGGCTGCAAACCAAGACGATTACTTGGGTAGAATGAGGAAAGAGCGCGGGACTGCACCGACTCGTAGCGCTCAACGATCCCTGGTCGGGTTTGTAATTGGAGGCCTTTGGGAAGTTGTCGTCCACTAGGAGGACGAATGAGAGGCCACATGGAGTAGACCGATGCCAATAGTTCGATATTGGGACCATGGCTGGCATTATTACAGCGAAGGGGACTGGACTGGACCCTTGATCACAATACCCACTCGATGCAGGGTTCAGTAGGGCCCAGCAATACGAAGCACATCATCTTATTTGGCTTTTCGTTTTTTCAATTTATTTAGCGATACCGGGAAGAGCCACTCCCGGTTGCATCCAAGCCTTTCTCACAGTCTGGACCAGTAGTTTATCACTGCTCGCTGATGGGTGGCGGACCAGGAACCGACCGACTGTTACTGTAAATAGAGCGTGTATCCTGGGAGGCTTTGTCAAGCGCCGGAAGTCGTATATTGTGCACGACTGCAAGTGCACGGAGGATTGTGTAGAATACTGCACATCTTCGGATAAGTCCAATCCGGGATGCAATTGGTCACAATTTCACCGACAGTCTTTGGTGATGGCGTGAACTAAACTAGAAAGCTTCCGCCACCTATGATATCCACAGCAGATGGATCATGAGCAGTCAGACTGCAGGGTCAGGTATCGGAGTCCGAGACATTTGAACTAGTCTCCGACGCCACTGGGAAAATTCCTGCACTCACCCACACGTGGTAAGCGATACGACTACATGTTGTGTGGGCAGCAGAATTTGGCCTCGAGCGGAGATAGCTTGCCAACACGAAGGCCACTGGCAGGCGTGTTCCTGAAAGCCATTCCGTTGTTTTTGTTTGGTTGATCTGCAAGGTACATACTTGCGGGAGTGCTTGTCCCTTGAAGGTTCGCAGTATGACGGGTCATTTTCATTTTCCCTTGGTACGGAAGACCGAAACGAAGGCATGTTATCAGTTATCGTGCCTTGTTAGTGGCATTGGCAGTCGGAACGAGGGTCCACTAACCCAGTCAGGAACGAGGAATGAGCGACAGGAACCGGAGAATCTTCACCCAACATAGCCATGGATGACTTCATTGGGGACGTTGATCACAGCTCTTGCGGGACTTGATTGTAGAACGGTCAGGTTGCAGAATGAATGTCTCGTTCCGAGCCCCCTTGATAATCGATTGATCTGCAGCCAGCGGGAGAAAAGGGAGGGAATACGTGGGTAGTCGTCGAGTAGTAACATGACTTTTTTGTGTTTCTCCGTAGCAATTTAGGCGACTATCCGATTACACGGGGGTGGGGACACTGGACAGGTTCCTTGGTGCCTTTGGACTTTAGGAGAGGACACGAGATGGATTGGGTGCCTCTGGTCCCAATATTCGGAAGTGGTAATTAAACTCTGTGCCTGGCCACTTTGGTGATTTAACGCTTCGGCCTCGTGGCGTGTCTATGTCTCATTTGTGCCAGACCAAGACTGACCGGAAGAAGCTGGCAAGGCTCCGGAAGGCGAAGCCAATCAAGCACCACTTTATGAGGGGCACTGATCCATCCATCGTAAATTTTACATGAATGTAATTTCCCAGGTAATTTGCCCTGCGGGCTATGTCATTGAGAATGGAAAAGTCTCCGGACGTTATTTGCCAGAAATGTGAGATGTGTGAGAGGGGGAAAAAACGCTCGAGCTTCTGGAAGTGAAACAAAGCTGGAAGGAAAGGGACGAGCAGACGAGGAAAGGAGGTAAATGATGGTGGTGGTGGTGGTGTTTGTTTGTTTTGTGCGAATCCCTTGCGGGCCAAGTTCCACCAACAAACTTCTCTTTCTACTCTTTTTCCCTTCCAGTCGTTACTCCGGACTGCTGCTGCTAGTCATCACAACAACATCCTTCCTCCCTTCTCCGTTCTCGGGGTTCCTCCGTTGTTCCTGGCTTGGTCTGACATAAGGTTATGATTGTTTCACATGTCCCACGGCTTCGCCGGCTTAGAGCTGAGACCCTCTTCTGAGTCAAATGGTACCATTTTGCCGATTTCGTGGCTAGTTCTCTTACTTTTACGCTCTGGATTTTGGTACCGTTGGCATTAGTTTGATCTACTCCGTACTAATAACAAGCCTAGTTTTAGGCGGATATACACTGTTACCCACAGGTGGTAGCATTCAGTAAATATCTCCTCCCACTCTTAGGCTCCCACGCTGAGAGCCTTGATTCGATGTCTCTCCTAAAATTGCTAGGCTGTTAGCGCCCTGGCAGATGAACCCCCGCTCATCCCTCGTATCTGCGGTCTCAATTTATCTCAATTTCTGAGTGGCCCACGCCTCCGAGTATCTTTGAGCATATCCACGATGGAGGGGAGCGATCCAAGCGGACTAACAGCAGACTAAACCGCCGTGTAAGCCAGTCAGAGAGTCATACTGGCTTGAGGTGACATCGCCTATTCATTTCGCAAGGTTTAGTCGGGGAAGGGTAGGCCCCATACATTCCACCGTTCTCAAAGTTTACCAGGCATCTCTTAGACTAACCATGCAATAGTAGGTAACTAGCAGTAGTCTTGAACGCTGTTCCTGAGCAAGCTCCCAATCAGCAATTTGAAAGAAAGAATAATTTCCCTTGACCCACCGGGAAATGAGCCGCAGATTTGGCGATGTTGGGCTTGGAGCCTGGTAGGTTGTAGTGAATGTCATCCCCTCCATAGGGGGGAATTGAGAGGGGGGGCTGTGAAGGGACTTGTCCTACGCCTGTCACATCCCCATCATTCATATACTTGAATGTTTCTCTCCCCCCTCCTCCTTCTCTTTCTCTCCTTCCCTTCTCACGATTTGACGTCCCTCGCATTTTCGCCCTCTCCCACGGTAGTCACTCCTTTGCACTACATACACGAAGTTTTACTTCCAGTCACTCTTTGAATTACACTCTCCAATATCCCTACCTACTCTCATTCTTTACATCACACACAAGACACGAAAGTGAAATCGAAAAAATGCGTTTCTTCTCCACTGCCCTCGTCTCTGCCCTTGCGGCCCTGGCCTCTGCCTACACTCAGCCCGACTACTCTCAGAGCCCCACCGGCAATGCCATCCTCACCCCCGAACTGAACCAGATTGTTCCTGCTGGCAAGCCCTTCGAGATCACCTGGGACCCTACTACCTCGGGTAGCGTGTCTCTGGTCCTTCTCCGCGGCCCCAGCACCAACGTTGTCCCCCTCGAGACCATCGTCGAAAACATCGGCAACTCTGGCAGCTACTCTTGGACTCCCAGCACCACCCTCGAGCCTGACACCACCCACTACGGCATCCTTCTCGTTGTTGAGGGCACTGGCCAGTACCAGTACTCCGTCCAATTCGGCATCTCCAACCCTGCCTACTCTTCTTCTTCCTCTGTTGCCGCTGCTACTAGCACCACTGCCGCCGCTGCTGTGAGCTCTGATGCCTCCGAGACCAGCGTCATCATCAGCAAGATCACCAGCACTATCTGCCCTGAGACTGCCACCGCCACTGCCGACGTCAAGCCCACTTTCACCTCCGTCCCTGTTGTCGGTGGCAACAAGCCCTCCAGCTTCGTCGTTGCTCCCACTGCCTCCGGCTCTGCCAGCCTCATCCGCAGCTCTGCCACTCCCTCCGGCACCCCTGCTGCCAGCAGCTCTTCCGTCTCCCCCGTCTTCACCGGTGCTGCTGACCGCAACGCCATCAGCCTCGGCGCCGTCGCCGTCGGTGTCGCTGCCGTCCTTGCTTTCTAAGCGGAGCAGCAATCCAGCATTCTTAAGGAATTTGTAAAGTGATGGAGGATGTACCTAGCTGAGACAGTTGTATGTACAAGAACGCGCAAGAGCGCGAGTGAGTTGTTGAGAGTATTTACGTTTGCAGCGATTCGATTCGATTCGTCGACTCTTTACTTATGACAATATACCCCCATAGTTAATGAGCAAGGGTAATAATAAGAGCATTGTATTATACCAGAGCTGCACTCATGAACATTTAATAGTACATCGTAAATCAGCCTTAGAAGGCTTTCCACATAGAATCTTAGGATAGATAGTCTATACACAGTAAATGATCTCCCACTAATGTTTCATCTTAATGGACCCCCTTCGATCCTATCAATGACCGATAATCTAAGATGCCAATTTCCCTTCCATCCCTTCATCTTCAAAACTAATCTAAAATCTCCGCCCTGTTAATTCTTTCTTACGTATGTATGCCATACCAACGGCTTACACCGCATCCGCATCTTAAACTGAAACTTGCAAAGAATCCGACCCCATCCCATGCGCCCCCCCTTTCCCATACCAACAGATGACAAAACAAGATCCAACAATCCAACATGCACATGCAGATCATAACATTATCACATAGCTCCCTTATACACATACATAGTCTCCAAGTAATTAATTATGCAATTATTAGTATGTATACACCATAGAATTGTATCCCCAAAGCTTAGCTTACTTAACTACCTATTATACACTCCCTCCATAAACTAGATCTAGGCACGTGATATATCGATAAGCCCCCCAGCAACCACAACTCCGCCCGCCTCCCCGATAAGCAATTTTCTTTTCTCCGATCCGACTGCGACCACACCTCTGAACCAACATACACATATACATATTCATCGCTGCAGGCAGCTACCTTCTCTACACCAAAGAAAAAGAATCATAATAATATAAAACTCGCAACCATGGTCCAAGGATCTCTCAAGAAGAAGCCCGCCGGCAACAGTGGGAATCTTGTGAAGCGGTACGTCGATACCTATCTACCAAATCTACCTACCCATGCAATTGTCTATCTATGAATGAGATATTGGGGATCTTGATGGATCATTCATATCACATACACCAAGAAACAAGATGGAGATCAATCAAGCTAACCTCTGTGAAATCCCGTGCAGTCCCTCAGCCCTCGGCCCCAAGCGCGGACCGAGACAAATCGCTCCTAAGAAGACGACGTTGGTGAAGCAGCAGAAGTTGACTAAGGTATTTTCTTTCTTCTATTACTTATCTTGGTGGTTCAATAATGCTAATCATGGGCATATGTGTAGAAACTCACGGCGGGATTGGTGGCCCGGACGGAGAAGAATCTTGCAGAGAAGGCGGGACATTTGGAATTGTTGGCGGGAGGAAAGAAGGATAAGAAGAAGGATACTAAGGGGAATGTGAAGAAATAGAGGGGATATAGTATAATTTGGGATTCTGTGATTAAATAGAGGGAGCTGTGTGGGGGTTCATATTGCTGTTGCTATTACTTCATTCTGTTCAGTATATGATTAATGAACATACGATACCCTTTTACACACTACTGCAAAGTTTTTGCTTATCTATATTTGAAATAGAACCGAAATAGAATGAAATCTATAACTATGTATGAGAAAGATGACATATACACAGCCCAAATAATAATTATATCCACGAAAATTAGCACGGATCATCACTCATAATAACGCAAAAGTAGAGGAGACGAGACAAAAGTTATATCGCTTCAAAGGGTATCTCAAATTCAGTATCATTCCATCCGCCGTCTTTTTTGAGTTGTTTTCTCCAGGTCAACTCGTCTAGGCGTTCTTGCCTAGCTTCGCAACACAGGTCGGGGCACCGGACTGCTCGACCAGCTCTTGGCCGCGATCAATCCACCTCCGGAATCCCTCGTCGGTAGGGTCCACTGGGAAGTCATCCCACACGGCATTCTCGGCATCGGCATAGGTGTTCCAGATGCCCTTGGGAACATCGGCGGCGCACCAGGAAGGAAGCTTGGCCAGAACGCAAGTGTAGTAGACGTAGAGAATCCGGCAGAGTAGGTCGACCCGATCCACGTAATGTTGCTTACTGGGGTCGGGTTCGCGACCGCCGTCACCGAGACGTCGCCACCAGGAGACTCGCCAGCGGAGGGTAAGCAGGATATGGCCGAGCTCGCTCAGGAAACGCAGGTGGGTTTCTTGAGAGATCTGTTTCCACTTGATGTTGTAGAAGTCGCGTTCCAGCTTTCGGAATCCCTCCACCTCGAGCATGCGGCAGATGATGCGAGACAGCTGTGCTGCAAGGAGAATTTCGCGGCGGTCCTCAGGGTTGTTGATGTCCATGGTTCTCTCCTGGCCTCCGGCTTGAAGAGGAACGAAGCTGTAGCTAGCACGGCTAGGCATGTTGTTCCATTGCGAGAGTAAGGACTATTAAAGTCAGTAATTGTTCGCATTAAGCAGACATCAATGATCACTTACATAAACATTGTTCATCGGGTCGCAGTCTTTCACGCATGTGAGCCAGTTCTTGGACTTGTCCTTCGACTCGACAATGCGCCGATCAATGAAGTCGAGAAAGTTGGACTTGGAGTTGCCATTGTACTCGCTAAGTCCGCGGAGGAACTTGTAGGTCTCCCCAAGGTCAAGGACATAGAGGGATCCCCAGGATTGCTTGGCACGGATGTTGAATCGACCTTGTCGCTCACCGAGGAATGTGATCAGATCATTGAGGTCGAACTCAGAAGGAATGTCCATCCGAATGCGTCTAGCACCATCTGTGGTGGGATGGTTGATGGCTCGTTGAGCTGGTGTCCGTTAGCAACAAAGACCAATACTACTGATGTGGAGATCGCAACATACAAACATAGTTACATGTACCGTACTCGACGATGTTGGCAAAGCAGGCGCGTGCGCATGGCTGCTCGTGGAGCGTAGGGCGGCAAGCATCGCACGGGGCGTTGCCATCACACTTGCAATTTCGTTAGATGCAAATCTAGAATTAGATCGGCTGAGTGCATACCTTGCGCTTGTTCAGTCGACACTGGACACATGTGTCCTTGTTCTTTCGTCGCAGTCCAGCATTGGCCCTGCCGACCATGCTCAGAGGGCCCTTGCGGCGCGCTCCCCGAGGCGGTGATATGAAATCTGCTGAAGCAATAGATCCTCCTTGGCCGTCTTCCTGCACGATCTGCAAAGGCTTGGGCAGGTTCTGGTCCAGATGCACGCTTGAGTTACGTTGCTTGCGCTTTCTGACCGTGGCCACTGTCTGCAGTGCAAGAGCTTGTGGCCGAGCGGGCGCCCTCTGCGCAGATGACGAGGCTCTGGGTCTTGCAGAGACCGGCGTGAAGTAGGCCTCCGATGGGTCTTCACTGACCATGAAGGCGGTCGCATTTTGTAGAGGTTGAGATGTCTCCGAAGAAGTGCTCTCCTTCTGTGTATCTTTCCAGAGTCCATTGTCTTCGAGTTGGCGATCGGCAAAAGCGGGGATCTCATCGTTACTAGCGGGGAATGGTTCGTAGACGCTGGGAAAATCTCCAGAAACCGAAGAACTCTCCGATTTGTATTGCAAGCCGTCATGCTGAATTCTCTCCTCCTTGAAGAATGTCGCGTCCTGGGGGATCGACAAGGATGCAGGCGATGTCATGTTGGAAGACAGCTGAGACTCCAGTCCTTCAAGCCAGCGAGAATCCAGTGATCGCATCGAACCCTGGTAGTCGCGGATGTGTCCTGAACGTTTGGCAGCTGATTGCAGACCCATCGACAGAGATACCGGGGTCTGATTAGGCAGGTTGTCCGTGGGAGCGGGCGCAGTCGGAGCCGTCCAAGTCTCAGCGGTCGAGAAGGGGAACGCCTGGGGAATATTCTGGAAGGAGAGGAACGGATCGGGAGGAAGATCGGACAAGCCCTGTCCTTGCGGCAACTCTCCGGTGTCCTCTACAATAACCGTGTTGGTGGAGGCAGGCTCCTTAGCGTACGGGTACATAAGGGGAGCCTCCATGGGAAGGCCAGCCGTCATGGCGTTGAACAGTTGAAATGGCGGCCATGACTCATCCAGCTGGAAATTGTCGTCGGCGGAAGAGGGCAGCGTCCTGGGGCTGATCGTACCACTCACGGTGCCTTCGATAGGACCGTCGTTGATGCTGAACTTTCCGGGGGAAGTGGCACCATGTTTGCTGCTGCACGGGGAGGGGTACCTGTCAGCGGGAAGCTCCAAGGTTAGGGAAGATGAGACGAATCGCACCTGCTCTCACTACCTCGATAATCGCCAGCATGACCTACCACCGGGACGGTGGATTGGTCCCGCGACAGCGGACCACGAAGGTTGCTCAGATCCACGACATCCGCATCGCCTGGACTCGAGTCCTGGCTCGCATCCCACTCCAGCGGTTGGTCGTAAGCGGAATAGATCGGAAAAGTATCCGATTGCCAGTTATCTAGAATTTTGGGGTCGATGCCCGCAGCCGTGCCAGTCGTCCCGCAGTCCATACAGGGGGGCAGATGGAAGGGGGATGGTGATGTAAGAAAGACCTTTGTGAGAAGCCGGAGCAGGTCTTTGGCGCGTTCCTGAGTCTGTTGGGAACCGAAGCGGGCGGTGGGTTTAAGTGGGTTTTGGCGGAGGTTCGGAGTTATGTAGTAGTTGTTGGTGGTGGTGATCGGGAAGAGGGGAAGGACCGCTAGATATATAAGCGGACAGGGATGATGATGGAGATGATGACCGTAAAGGGCGATGATGAAAGTGATGCACGAAGCAGGAGTGAAAGGGAGAAGATGGATAGTCAGTGCTGGACTGACGAAGCGAGCAGAAAATCGGCGTCCGTGGCTGACTGACTTGGACCGACTGGGTTGGCGCTGCTTGGTCTTCCCCACCAAAGATTTTGCGACGATCGGCCTCCGAGGTGCTGCTTGCATTAAACATACTTGGATTTATTCTACTAATTCTACTAATTCCTCTGATAAGTTCCGCACTGACCAGGTCCGCATACGCACGAGCTGGGTTCCTCCTCCGCGGCCTCGTTCACTCATCGATGGCAGCTGCCTACCACTTGACTCGTTCTACCGTATATTAATCTTAATATATCTTGCAGCTGGTCCAGCGTCTATCCCTGATCATGATGAGGGGAAACCACACACACACACACACACACACACACACACACACACCGTGACCACACAACTACTAGTAGTACGTACGCCTCTCTATCTATTCATGTCCGTCGGAGTTTGATCCTCAGGGGTCCTCCCTACAAACCAACGCGGTACAAAGAGGGGTCAAGCCGTGGATCGTCCCCTCGCGCCTGAAACTACTGCAACCTACAATGAACAAGGAGGACCGACGGACACAACGACCACTTGCAGCCATTAAGCCAGTGTGCAAGGTGCATACACACACACACACTACTGACCACCCCAATCCTGGTTGGTGTGTGATAGCGTTTATGGCCCAACATGACAGTCGAGGATTACGCGAGAAAATCATTCCCGTTGAAACCGACTACGGGGGGCTGTCCTCCGCGGATGGATCGATATTATTGCTAGAAAAGGTCGGTCCAGGTGCCGGTGGTCAGAGGGGCTGTTTGACTCGCGGCTACCACGGAGTAACCACAACGCCATGGAGCAAAGCGTGGATAGAACAGACCCGCCGAGAGGAATGATTGGCAACTTGGCGCCGGTGGGATGGGACCGTGGTTGCTTTTCCAACTAAGAATAAGGCGCTCCTGAGCAATCAGCGTGTGTGGTCCTGCGGCCTAGCACAGTAGTCCTAATTCTTATTCTAGAAGCCTGTCCATGGCTGGTTGGGAAGTGGACGTGGGTTTGCATTTCCCGTTCAGGATTCGCATATAAAAATTCATAGTGTGGCCCCATCAGGGTCTGGGAAAAAAAGAAAAATTTTTAAAAGACAAGAGCAAAGAAAACCTAAACGACCAACAATAATCACTAATAATCAGTAGGGCACGGGACCACCCTAAGCCTGCAATAGCCGCACACACCCGTGTGCCATTCTGGACTTTGTGTGGATAGATAGTTAGTTAGTACTTAGTAGGTGGGTGTCATGATAATTATTCTACCGATTATTCATGAGTGATGTGCAATAATTAATCGATCAGTATGATCATCTTAGCTAAGAATATGCATACACACATGACCTCTTTTACCCCGAAGAGTTCAAAACCCTCCGTAGATAAGCCAACAGCACTAAATGGCACAATGATGCCAGGATCTAAGTAAATATGTGTGTGTGTGTGTGTGTGCGTGTGTGTGTCTTAATGTCCCCTACGTGAAGAAGTATGCAGACACTAGGGGCCTTCAGTGCATATGTACGGAAGAGTAGCATTCCCTTGGTATCCCAACTGATTGGTGACCACAATTTCCTTGTCGGATTTATCTGGTCTTCTGCCGTCTACCTTATTGTAGTCTAATCTAGGGTATCTGAGGCAATCGTTGTGTTGCATTGAACGTGCGCCGCCTGATGATGCTCGTGTTTCCTTCTTTTTCCTTCTTTGCTTTTTGCTCCGAGCCCCATAGTCAGTCACCTTGCCTGCACCTCCTGGTGCCTTACTCTACGGGGTATTTTCCATCATGCTCGGATCACCCTCTTATCCTACTAGACATCTGGCTAGTTCGTAGTAGTTTATAGCCATGACCGACATAGTGTCGTTTCACAGGGGTGCCCCGATGAAATGCCCTACTATTGACATGCGACGGGGATACTATTCTTCAAAGATCTACTTGACGAAATCAATCTATTATCTAAACAATAACCCGAATCACTTCTTCTTCTTCTTCTTTTCTCCTCAGCTGACCGTCTCACTGCCGAGTTCTCAGGCCGGGCGAATTCCCTCCTTGGAAATGCACCCGTTCTGGATGGTCCGATTCGTCTTCTTGAAATCCCCACGAGGTGTGACTTAATCGCAGGCTTTGCTTTTCCTCACCGCAGCCTCTTTTCGGCGTCCCTCGGCTGGTCTCCGTCCCGTCCTGTCACATACGGTATTATTACGTGTTTAATCCTTTCTATTCCATAGTTCAATCACTGTTCCATACCCGTCCGGTCACCGTCATAACGGACGCTCGCAACCACAGTTGACGTCTTCAGAGCAACGCCCCCCCGCAGCGCAACAGCTTCACCGTGACCGATTTGGAGATGGAGGCCAGATTCTCCCCGGTTTCTCTTCGAGGTCGGGGTAAACGGTGATCGAAAATGGCTGTCGGGCTCAACGATTACCCAGCTAAATCTTCCCTATAAATACCGGGGGGATGGAACAGCTGGCAGATGTTGATCTGGAGAAGCAATTATCATATATCATAATACACTATCACTGCAATACAAACTGCAACTTGAACCCTGAACCCGAGTCCGAGCCCCCGAGCCCCAAAATAATCCCAGTGCGGATCCATCCACTTTTTTTTCCCATCGGAGAAGAGCGAAAAAGAGTGCAACGCGCGTGTGTGTGTGTGAGAGAGAGTGTGTGTGGGAATCTGAGAAGAAAAGAAAAAAGTTGGGAAATTATAGGTCGCTGCTTCTGTAAAATCCGATTTCAAAAGTCCGAAGCATCAAATTCAATCAGTCAATCAATCCAATCCAATCCGATTCCAGAAAAGAAAAAGAAAAAGAATATACCATTATTCTTCTCTTATTGCCCCAACACGAGTCAAAAACACCTACTAGATCTTCCTCCATCATGCATATATTGGTATGTTTTTTTGCTTTTGCTTTTTTAACATCTTCCCTCCTTGTCATCATCAATTGAACTTTACATGTGCTGCCCAATGTCACCGCTTCTTTGCCAACCCCCATGTTCCCTACCTACCTACCTGTCTACCTATCTACCCTCCCTCCGTATACGGAGCACGAAAGCTACATGACTAGTCTCAATTAGCTAAACACACACACTAACACAAAAACAAAATAATCAGGTAGTCAACGATGACGGTCCGCCGTCCAGACGCCTCTCCCCATACATCGAGCCACTAGTGACGGCACTCGAGTCCGCCGGCCACCGCATCTCCGTGGCCATTCCCGCCGCCTCCCGCTCCTGGATCGGCAAAGCCCATCTAATCGAAGCCTCACTCACAGCCACCTATGTCCCACCCGCTGCCTTTCGCGGTGATGGCACATGGGATGAATCCTTCCAACAAGATCCCACTACCACCAACAATGCCAACGACGACTGGGTGATAATCACCAACGGCACCCCAGCCAGCTGCGTCCAACTCGGCCTCCACAACCTCTTCCCCGACCGCGGCCCCATCGACCTCGTCATCTCCGGCCCCAATCACGGCCGCAACGCCTCCACCATCTACAACCTCTCCTCCGGCACCGTCGGCGGCGCCCTGGAAGCGGCTACATGCGGGAAACGCGGCATCGCCATCTCCTTCGGCAGCAAAGATGAACAGCCCCTAGATATCATCCACGCTGCCGCTCGTCTCGCCACTAGAGTCGTTAACCATCTCATCCAGAACTGGGATGACCAGGTCGAGCTGTATAATGTGAATGTGCCCATGCGTCTGGACGTCGAGTCTCGTCCTGTCTTGTGGACTCGCACGTACCCGTATTACTGGGCGAGAGGGTACTTGTATTCCGAGGTCTCTGGGGAGAAGGCCGCGCCTGTTGTTAGTGGTGTCAATGGACATGCTGCTGCTGCTGTTGCTAATGGGGAGGAGGAGGAGCAGCAGCAGCACCTCACGAATGGTAATACCACGAAGACAGTCACACCCAAGACTGAGGGTGGTGGTGGTTTGAAGAAACGGAACTTTGCCTGGGCGGCCGAGTTGTCTGATATGAAGAGGGCGCTGCAGGAGAGTCCCGAGGGGACGGATGCTCATACGGTGTTGAGTGGGTGTACTAGGTTAGTTACCTCCTTTTCCTTTCTGTGGTCCTGCTTGGGGATTTTAAGGATAATGCTAACAATAATGTGCAGTGTCACCGCCCTCCGCGCCAACTTCTGGCATGTTCCTGGCCTGGAAGGGCAATTGCTGCATCTGGATTGAATCGAGTTGATTCATGCATGATGCGTGTGCGTGTGCGTAACGCAAAACGGAATGGAATAACGACCTTGTAGATTGAAGATGATGTGATAAGGAGACTTATGTGTCTTGTCTGCTTGTTACTATCTGGTTTACTACTTACTACCTTAGATACCCGCAAAGGTTGTGTTTGTTACTACTTATGTTCCCTGAGAATTCGGAATACAATATATGATTGTTTGCTATTTTGTTTGTCATTTCTAAGAGTTTGGATGTGGGCACGTGTAGTAGATGGCGTAGACTGCGTTGATTGTATTTGTTTGTTTGGCATAAGTCAGTCATATGTACATGGGACTGGTTGGATACGCGGTTAGTGCAAGGTATGTCTGTGTCTGTATGTATATGGTATTAAGGACGCCGCAGATGGCGCCAATATGGAAAAGCTGTCATGTCGTGGCTCAATAGAACGAAGATAAGAATATGTGGGGGTTGAAAGTGTAAGGGGAGAGGGGGGAAGTCATATCGTATCATGTGGTCATGTGAAGGGTTGACAAACGCCCCAAAAAAGGCAGACAAGATGAAAGAGTAAAAGACGCAAATACGATAAGGAATAAGAACAGGATTGATCGACGTATCCACCACATCAACCTAACTCTAAATCGCGCGTGCGGCCTCGCCTGCGCCACTGTCCACCACGGATGCCTGCTCAGCACGCATCTTGCCCTTGGCCGGTCCGCCCTCGCCGACGCCCATTCTCCGCGCCACGTAGCGTTGTGCAACCAGCCCCGCAGCCAAGGACAGGCTCTCCTCGATCCACTCGGCTGCCCATTCTCGGGGGTCGACGCCGCCGTTCTCGATAATGTCGGCGATGTCGTCGGGAATGGTGGTACGAGGGACGCTGGCGTCTTCGGACTCAGGGTCCTCCACTGGAATAGCAGGGGTCTCGAGCCAGTCGATCCATTTCTGAGGAATGGCCTGGGAGAGCGTGTGGAAGGCGATGCCGTGGATGGGGTCGTGGAGGTACAGTGCGAAGACGACTTCTTCCTCGGCGGCTTCGGGCACATCGACAACGCCTGCTGGAGTGGCTTGGTCGGTTGTGGGGCCCGCCTGGAAGAGCTCGGTGGAGGTGGTCTGGCTGATGGCCTGGATCGCGAGGAAGATGTCGCTGCTGCGAACCGGGTTGGTCTCGCTCAGATCTTGGGTAGCTTGTTTTGCAGCCGCTTCGACGCCGCCCTTGGCCGAGAAGTACTCAGTAGCGTAGGCTTCGGCGCTGGCCCGCGCAAGCTTGGTGGCCTCGACTGTGCCTCGGATGGCCGACAGAGTGCGAGGGCTGCCGGGCGTCACGGTGCGCCACCATGGGCCATCATGCCAGCCCGGGCCAGAGAACTGGGCGCCGCCGATATCCAGTCCGCGCTTCGGGGCTGACTCCTGACCCCGCTGGATGACAAGGAGGTCCCCGCCTTCGACCTGCGCCATCACGCGCGAGAAGACCGCGTACACCAGAGGGTCGATGCTGGGGTAGCCAGACAAATCATGTGTTACGTGGATTTGAAGACGTTCATGGGACGAGATGGGAGGGGCGAGCGTGTGGATGAAAGAGGTAAACGTAGGAATAGCCATGTTGCGCAGCTCCCCACCTGGTGGTTTGTCGTTAGCGGTCATTCAGAACGAAACAAGTCTGTCTAAGAAATACATACCTAGGTCCTTGAGAGCTCCCACATTGCCCTGAATCTGTTGAGCCCACTTCTGAGCCTCTTCATTCTGCTGGATCTCCTTGACCGCTGCCTCAGCCTGCTTCATGGCAGCGCTGGCGGTTGCAAAGATACCACCCCACCATCCACCGCCACCACCGCTCGAGGCAGGTTTCTCCTGGGCCTCTGGCTTCTCAGTCTCCGGCTTCGACGCATCTGCAGCCTTCTTCTCTGTAGCGGGTGCTCTGATGCTCTCTTCCGACTTACGAGGCGCCTGTTTCTCTTCACTGGAACGGCCGGTGGAGGGGGTTGTGGTAGTGGCAGCCGGTTTGGGCGACTTGATGGTAGGTCTGGGTTCGTTTGTGGACACGCGCGGGGTGCCAGGGCCACTGCTGGGGCGCTGAGTAGCTAGACTGTCCAGTTCTGCGAGGATGTCCTGCTCGGACTGTGCGGTAGTGGGTTTGGGAGCCGCCTTGGAGGGCTGCTGCTCGGGGGCAGAGTCGACACCCAGGTCGTCAAATTGAGCGAGCAGCTCATCACTGGTGGGTTTTGAAGACTTGGGGCGCATCGTGCAGACGGTAGCGATGCCTTATGAGTGAGGGTATGTTATATTGAAAGATGGTGGGCAGGTATAACAGTCAAGAAGAAGACAATAATATCGGGGAGAAATGGACGGCAAGCTGGAGCTCTGGGGAATCCGAGGTTGGGCGGTGGAGCCCGGATGACCTGCGCCAAGGGCCCAGGAGGCGTTAGCGGGTGAAGTATCTTTCTTACTCTACTTTTGGAGGGATTCGTCCAATGCCATACTTACTCTAAACTATAGATGGCGGGTGGCTTTCTCGCAGTGGCTTTTTGTCTCACTTGAATCGACTGGCGAGAACCGTCGACGCGTGTATACTAGAAGCACTGCAGGATACTGCAGTCGCAACAAACTAAGCTATAAATAGATATTCGACGGACAATCCAACTAGTACTGCATTGCCCACTGTAAAATATATATTGTCCACTAGCGAGTTATACTAAGTAGTACTCACATTTTAGATTCTTTGAGCTACCTTAAGGGGAAATTACCAACTAAGTACTATCACCCAGATTTTGCCTGTAGAGTGTAACTTACTGAATCATGATCAGCCACACCCTCAAGTCCCCATGTATATACCCAGTTCAACAAAGTACGCCTGCCGACAACCTTATGGTAAAACATAGTACTGTTAATACAGTCACACCCGATAACCCACTTGACAATAGCTTATATATAACGCTGAGTGGGACGGCAGCTGGTGCTTTTCTGAACATGCATTACCTGCTACCCAATAATGCAAGAGAGTCCAAGCGACACCAATAGTACCTCCTGCTAATCTCATAGTAAAAGAAGCAAAGGCCTCCCCACCTCACTCCGTCCTGCATATGAAAATTCAAAACTCAATCCTCAATCAAACAGACCGCCGCTATATCTATTGCGCAACATGTCTCTGTATGTACGGCCAATATTCTCAAAGATATTTTACCTATCTGACTTCATGCTCGACACGAGTTATGATTAGATGTTAACGTAGGGGTATGTGAGTGTCAGCGCTGCAAGTCGATCTTCCATGAGTTTTCACCCCCTTGCTTGCCAATATCCGGAAGGAAGACAACATCCTCGCTCAGTTTGTAGGTTTTTATGACCCCAGCAGCAATCCTGTTACCGGAGACGGCGCTTCTGCCCCAGTCCTTCATAGTCGAGGGATGAAACACGCTTTGCGTGCTAGCATTTCAATACGCTGCCGCGTGGCGGCTCCCTGTGATTCAATATCAAAAGAATAACAGCGCGCGTTACTGGAAACAATAAGAGCACGAAAGCAGTGTCAGGCTATATACAATATGATAAAAATAAATACATCTCAGAATCTATAGCAAGCTTCGCAGCAAGCTTTGAGGGGCGCGCGGTGATGTATATCGACGCCATAAAATGTATAATAGGCCAAGAAAACTTAATGCCTCAACGGCAGGGATATGGCGAAATCTATATCATTAAGCGGGTACTTTCGGAAGATATGAGAATTTCTTAGGTCTTAAAAAGCCATTGATTGCTACAGTGATATTATGTATGGACCATTCTAAACATTTTGCTGAACAATAGCGATGGGACAGCAGAAGAATTCCGTGGCGGTGGTGTTATGCCTGATAAGACCGGGAGATAACACAGGGATCAATTGATTAGGAGCAGCCCGAATCAGTCAAGGTGAGCTGGATATTAGGTCTAGCTTGCGCTATAATAACAATAGTACCATCATAATAATACTTTGTCAATGATAATGATGGGTGTGAGGAGGACTGGGCCCACCAACGCCTACGCAACTACCTAACGACCATGTCAGAATCTGCCAAAAATCGATCAATTCCCCCGCTCGTCTCATTTCATAGTATGCCTTCAGCATGGATTGTTACCGAGACATTCCGTGATGGTTCATCAACCACTGGCAATTTGACTGGTCGCTCCCGAACACCATCAGCCCATTTCTCCCACATTGCCCTTTGTTTGGAAAACAGGAAAAGGTCACTCGATCCTTTCCAGCTTAAAGTATAGCTATGATGCATTGGAAGGGAATAATCTGACTATTATTGACTAGAGAATTTTATCCCTCAATAAAGTACCGTAGTAGATGATGTCACGTAGACGGGGTAACAATACCGCCCCATGACTCAGGCAGGTACACGGTCGATGAATGTCCATCTATCAGGTTGGCAACCCGAAAGATGAGACCAAGTTGACGCCAACTGTGCTGTGATCTACCCCCGGTTCCCCAGGTGGAGTTGACGGCTACTGCGATAGTCAATACTTTACCTGAATCAGGGGTACTTTTTCACTCAAGAGTAGCCCCTGGTAGGGAAAAGGAAAAAGCATCCCTCAGCATCAACAAGTCCATCTTCAGGGCGCTCAAGGTATACCTCCGACCTGGACTACAGGACTGGGGGGTATTGTCCGGTAACAGACCAGCAGACCACTGCGATTATTTTGATTGGCCTGATCAAGACTACGGCGACTGCGTGACGGGGATCTATCCGGAGCTGGTCTTTTTCCGGGCGGATCAGAGCCCCAGATTGGCTATTTAGGTGGGTCCATACAGTAAAATAAGGTAACTTGCGTATGGCGCGTACCAGCACCAAGCGGTGCCGATACCAACCCAGTGCGAAAAGTTGATTGCAAAGGCCAGTCCGGCCAGGTAAGGTAAGTGTAAAGCTCAAGTACTTTCTTTACTGGGACTTACTATTCCTACTAGATCGCTTTGTGAAGGCGACCTGCTGCCTCTACAAACTAAACTCCAAGTCTTTCCCTTCCTTTTCTCCCCCCAGCATTCACTGTGTCTAAACATCCCACAATCCTCTCTTGCTTGCCTCTTCTTGCCCGCTTCCCGTGTTGGTGCTGGGCTGTTGGTGGTGTTCCTTGTGGTTAATCCCCCCTCTCCGAATCTTCTCCCTTTCATTCTTCCTTTTCCTCCCTCTTTCGCCATCTGCCCGTCTTCCCCCATTCCGTCAAGACTTCATAGTTCCACTGCTACGGAAAGCTTTGAAATTCCCACCCCCAGCTCTTTTCTCCTCTCTACAGCAAACATATCCTGCCATCTATCTCAATCCCTTCATCTTGTGCATCTTATCTTCTCTGTCTAGATCTCTTGCTTCTGGTTTCTTGGTTTGTTGCCGGCGCTGGCAGACGCATAGTTTTTCTGCTTACCCGCTCGGCTTCCTACTTTTCCTCTTCAAGAACTACGAACCTCTTAAACTATCCCTGCCAACCGTTCGCGGCGTCCACCGTGGTTGACTCTGCACAACAACCACAATACTTCTGCTCTATCGCGCTCCTCAGAGGGCGATCTTTTCACATCTTCAAATATTGTTCCTCTCAGTTTATTGGAATCACTGACGCGATTTTCCCTCGCCCAAAGGTATGTTACATATCACCTGCCTGACCCATACTACGCTCTACTTGTGCCTGCCAAAGCCATGTCTGCCACGTTTCTGTCAACGTTTTGGTCCATCCTCCAGTGGAGAGCAGCCCAATTCCTCATGCATCTCACTTGTTTCGATTGCTCGACCGTGTTTTGGTTTCCCCTTTCCCACCCTTACACTCTCGGGGCTCTGGTGTAGAAGATTGCGCTGCAGTTACTTCTGGCGTCTTGGCGCCGCAAGCGAACTTTTCAGCCGGAAGTTAGTCAACTAACACTATAGCCAGATCCCACGTTGGGCCCCTCGAAGGAGGATCAGATATCCCTTTCGCTAGTATTCTCACATCCTATTACTTTCTATCTGACTACTTCTTCTCCTCACCTTCTTTTTCTGTCCATTATGGCTCCGCTTCCTCATAACGAGGCGGAACTGGACAGCCATACTTCGGACTTGGCCAGCCAGGACTCTCCGCTGCGCCGACAATTCTCCGAGCCATTACACGCTCACTCTACTTCTACCCAGGCGTCTCCATCCCCTTCTCCCATGACGCACAAATCTAAATGCTCTTGGTGCGGCAAGGAATTTGAGTCTGCCAATGATTCCAAGTCGCAATATGATGCTCTCAAAGAACATATTGCTACCGTTCATCCGCAGATTGCCAAATTCTCCATGTATGAGGGTGCCGACGAAGATGAAGAGTCTCAACTCCACGAAGCCGACCCTCAAGCAGAGGACAATGCAGAGGTCGCGGCTGAGAGTGAAGCCGATGACGAAGAGCAAGATGAAGCCGCTGCAAATGGCGTGACTGAGGCGACGGAAGCTTACGATAACGACAAGGACCAAAGCCTCGATGGCGATGAAGCTGACGGTCCAGAGGCTGACGCTCTTTCGAATCAACTTCATGAGTTCTCTCGCGGTCAAGACTCAGTCTCGTTGGATCAACGTCTGCATAATCTGTGGAGTGTCAATGATATCCGTAAATTCTCGGAAGACTATGACGAGAAGTCGTCTGACCTAGATCACTCTTGGTCCATGGTGCTCCGGGGCCCGAAGCGCGCTCAAAAGCGTGAAGACAACGAATTCGCTGAACGGCCTGGACCGTACAAGCAAGTTAAAGCTGCCAAAGGGGAGTTCCTAGAAATGACTCCCCTAGAAGAGTTTTTGGCGCCGCTTCGGGATCCGGAGCACCGCTCGACCGAAGAGCTGTATGCTATCACAGAAAACGTGGCATATGCCTTGAAAGCGTGGCAGGACGAGTATATGGCCATAGAAAAGCTGCACAAGGTAGCGACTCGCCATAATGCCAAGCCGACCAGCGACCCGAGGAAGTTGCAAAGGCCTCAAGTATTTGAGGATAAGAAGGAAGCCATGCTCTACGGCTACAAGTACGAGGCCAAGGAGGATAAAGTGGGCAACCAGAACCCATTCACGCAGGGCGGGTTCAAGCCAACGCCCGCTCAATTCCGAAAGATGACGGCCAAGATTGGACCCAATCATCCTAACCCGGATGGCTGGCGCACCATCGTCAAATTCGGAGTCGAGCACGTGCCGAAGTTCCAGAACCCGCCACGCGAGGAATTTGTTGGCAAGGCAACGCGCAAGCGCAGGGCCGCGGAGCTGGAGGCGGCTAACCGAGAGATGGCAGCCTCTGGCTCCGAAGAGCCCACTATCGAGACACCGGCTCAGACTGACACCGAAGAGTACGGACCCAAGCGGCGCACGCGTGGCCGTCGTCCTGGCACCGAGGTCGACGAAGCCCAGGCATCCGCGACACCCCCTCGGGGTGCGGTTCGGGGACGTGGAAGTGGCCGCGGCCGCGGTAGAGGTGCAGCTCGCGGAGGTGGAGTCATTGCTTCGACGGAGATATATCAGCCGGTGGCCGCTGCGACCTCAGCACCACGGCCGTCATCTGGACGAGGGGAACATGTGGCTAGCTCCCTTCAGGCACGACCTGCCACTGCCCAGTTGGCACCGATCGAACCGGCACCTAGCACGACGCCTACGCCTCCCGCAAGCATCCAAACCGGTAGCACACTGGAGGATGGGGTGGATCCCGCTGAACAGGCCCGGCGACAAAAGATTGCCAACTCCAAGAACCCGAAGCGAACAGAGGCCATGCTGAACCACTGGGCACGTTTCAACCGTGAGGGTCGCGTACGCAATCCCAAACGATCTAAGGCTCAGATTGAGGCCGACCGCGCGGCGGAGGCTGCTCGGAAGGCATCTGAGCCCCCGAAGCCGGGAAAGATCAAGAAGAAGCCGGAGGGCGGGGTGTATGGGGAGCCTGCGCGACCTAACGCAGGGCTCGCGCCCGCACCTATGCCTGCATCGACACCTTTGGCTCCTGGTCCTCCTACGCATCATCAGCTCGCGCCGATTGCTGCACCACGACCGTCACTTACGCCATATGCTCCTATTGATCCTCGAGCGGTGGCACCATTTCCAGGGCCTCATGGTCTTTTACAGCAAGCGCCGCTGCAGCCGTATCGCACACCATACCCGGAGTACTACAGTCCTTATGGGGCGCCTGCGCCTGGGCTGCCACCACCGCATCCGCGACCTGCGTGATCCACCCTGGCTTGTATCCTAATTTCGCTCGTATGTATTATTGTGCTTTTGTTACCTGTGATTAGTGAGCGTGCTTTCAGCGACAGGCGTCGGGGCTTTGCGATCCGTGGTTGGTTGTGAATATTGCCAACCAGGTAGGATGTACATTGGGCATATAAAAAGCTGTATTATACATTAATGCCATACCTTTATTCAGCTGTCTCAGTTAATGTAGATATAATACTGATGATATTTGTATACTTGATGGGATGGATGACGCAGGTCACATGATGAACTCCACGTGACGCAACACTTCAACTCCGCGCTGGTCGGCGACCAAGTGAGCTGCTTCACCACCCATCACTTTTCTTTCATTTCACATCAACACAGACTCAATCACTATGGGTAAAAAGAGACGCGGTCCGACGCTGGATGAGCTTCTGGCTCGTCCATGGTGCTACTACTGTGAGCGCGACTTTGATGATTTGAAGATTCTCATATCTCACCAGAAGGCCAAGCACTTCAAGTGCGAGCGCTGCGGGCGCCGGCTGAACACTGCAGGAGGTAGGCCATCCAATGCGCCGTGGCGATATTTACTAACAGCACAGGGTTATCGGTGCACATGAGTCAGGTCCACAAGGAGCAACTTTCGGCAGTCGACAATGCTCTTCCCAACCGATCCAGCCTCGACGTCGAGATCTTCGGCATGGAGGGCGTCCCGGAAGACATCATCCAGTCGCACAATCAGCGCGTAGCCACCCAGTTCCAACAGGCAGAGGCCGAACGGCAGGCCGTGACAGGCAATCCGCCTCCGGGAACCGGTGTTGGCGGACAGCCAGCGAAGAAGCCCAAGCTGGAGAGCGTGTCGGATCTGAAGAAGCGACTGGCGGAGCACAAGGCTAAGAAGGCGGAAGCACGTACTGGAGGCAGTAGTGGTGAAGCTACTCCAGTGGGCGCAGGACAGACCCCGACTATGGGCGGATTCGTGAGTATTCTCTCCCATAACATTAGTGACGTGACTAACAATGAGGCAGGGCCAGCCTGCTCCTGCTGCTGCCGCGCCCGCCGCTGCACCCACCACTACCTCACAGTTCTCTTACCCTCAACCCTACGGCACCGCCTCTCCTTATCCTCAAACCGCCAGCCCTGTTTATCCCAATTTCTCCCCGGGACAACCCCAATTCCCTCCAACCGCACAATACCCTCCGGCGGGATATTCACCACAGCCGTTCCAGGGTACGCCGGCGGCATCGTTTGGAACCACACCTCCGGCATTCCCAGCACAACCGTCTCAAACCCACACCCCTCCGCAGACGGCTGGGGCATTCCCGCCCCGGTCGGGTAGCCTTCCTATGCCCCCAGGACTGCCGCAGCGACCGGCTGTGGCAGCACCACCGGTCAACGCGTATCAAATGCAGCAGATGCACATGGGCCAAGCGCCGGCCTTGAACGGAGGCGAGACGACACAAGCGCCTGATACAATCTCGACATCGGTGGACGATCTCATCTCGGGGGCCGCGAAGCAGGCGGAGACCACAGCAGACAAGCCCAAGAGCGAGGAGAAGCCCAAGAAGGACAAGTCGAAGGCAGTACGACTGGTTTACTCGGATAATGAGACGAGTCCGGAAGAGAAGATGGCACAGCTGGCAAGGTACGCATTTGTTCCCGAACAGAAGGGCGAGACGGTTCTGGAGGAGGTACCGGCGTCGGTGGTGACGGGCACGACGCGCGAGATGGATACGGTGGAGGATGCAGCGGATCGGTAGGCACCAGCCACCCGCCAGACGGTATAACAGCTTTACGAGCATGCGAATACATGGAGGGCAGCGACAGAGACAGGGGATCGGATCAAGCAGCTAAGTTCAGTTTCTTGCACGATTGGAAATGTCTCTTACAGTGTAGGGCGGCGAGCGACACGAACCGTAGCATGGAAGGCAGACAGACACACAGAAGGGGACAGACGGAGTCAGAAAAGAAAGAAAGAAAAGACAAACTGTAAGTTCAACATCGAGCAGGTAGGCTACATACAGACTACTACACCAATAGTTGAAACAGCTTAGCTTCTGTATACATTGTAATGAAGACCATCATCATCATCCATTCATCCACTTATAATAAATAGTAGTATACTATATCATACACCCCCATCTTCCACTAGTAACTAACCACCAACCTACCCACCCCCCACCTCTTCTACCAAGTACTAGTATTCCCCCACCCCCTCCATAACCTCCTCCTCAAATATCATCCAATTACTGAGAAAGAAGTGCATTCCCAAAAACCACCCCCCCAAGCACCGCCACAACCCCCAACCCCATCGGCACCCCCTTCCCCGTCTTAATCGCCCTAGGGATCGACGCACCGCCGAGGATAATGGACGCCAGAAGACCAATCTCTGCCCCGTAGGGCTGGTTCGCGCGTAGTCGGAGGTACGAGAGGAGGTACAGGAAGGAGACGGATAATCCGGCGATGAGGGAGGGGAGGGAGCGCGCGCGCAGGTACCCGGTTATGCCTCCTATGGAGGTGAGGATTGTGAGGAGGGCTGCTACTTTGGCTGTTGTGGTGGACTGTTTCCATGTCATTAGTTGGTTGTTGTTGGGTGGGTGGTAGGTATGTGGTTGAAGGGAGGAGGGGGAGGGGGGGACGTACCATTGTGGTTTTGTGGTTGTGCTGTTGGTGTAGGTTTGGGTGTAGATGTGATGTGGATGTGTTGTGTAGGTAAAGTGTAGAAGAGGTAGTAAGTAGGTGGTGGAGAGGTAAGCTAGCTATGTAATATGGAACTGGGATGATGGCATGATCTAGGTTCTGGGTAGTACCTAGGTAGGTAAGGTAGGCTAGTGTAATTTGTGGATGCTGATTGGTTGATGCTTACACTACCATCTATATAAGTACTCTCTACTATGTACTTCTCTGTATACATACTATATAGTTATATAACTCATGTCCATTCTATCATATCATATCATATCATAATATCACATCATCATATATATGCATGCATGCACCATATCCCAAACAAACAATCAATCAATCAGGCAACTTTTCTTTTCCCCTATCAGCCGCCCCTCCCCTCCTCATGATACTATTTACCTCCCCCCAGTAGCTCCATACCCCCTCTCCCCTCTCCCCCCCTCTTCTTCTCTTTCTTCTTCTTCTTCATCATCAACTTCCTCTGCATCATCCCCCTGCAACACATTCTCCTCCCCAATCCACCCCACCGGCACCGCACTCAACATCCCAAACACCCCACACACCCACCACGGCAAAATCCCCCAACCCCTCTTCACTCCCCAGGAATACGCCCCCCCAATTACCGCAGGTCCCACCGCCCTCCCCACAGCACTCACACTCGTACCAACCCCATTCAACGTCCCCAGCACACTCATACTACTCGCCGAGTTCGTCAACAGAATCGTCGTGCACGGGAACCCAAAGATCGAAGCGGCCAACTTCCCCAACATGAGCAGGAAAATGGCCACATTGCGCAGCCACGGAACTGGAAGCAGCACCGTGAATGGCGTGAGCATGTAGATGATAGGGAACACGCTGACCACGGCTTTCAGGCAGTTGAGTACGCCGAAGCGGTGGGCGGCCCATGGGAAGATGAGAAATTGGATGAACATGCCGAGAATGCCGATTAGGGTGTAGTAGATGCCGATGGTTTGGGAGTCTATTATCTTCATTTAGTATGGAGGGAGCAGGGGATGGGGTAAGATGGGGTGGGGATACGTACCGATGCCGAATCCACCAGTGAACTTGAAGGGCAGTTTCATGTCGGGATTATCATCGTATTCCTGCACCGGGCTATGTAGAAAGACAGGCAGGACGGAGTCAAATGCCATGGCGTGCATGGACATGAGAGCGTAAGCGAGCAGGACGAGTCGCGATTGCGGCGTGAAGATCTCGGCCCAGGTTGGTTTGGCTTTCTTTGTCGCTGTTGCTGGATGTGTAGTAGTTGATGGCAGAAGGGATTGGCGCTCTGCATCCGATGCATGGGACTCCGACTTCTTCTTCCGAGAAGAAGTACACGAGTTAGTCAGTGCCTCGCCCACAACCAACCCATAATCACGTTGATGTTTCTTCGCCGCCAGCGTTTCCTATACATCCACATTAGCACACCACGCCCCTCGATCCCTGAGATATAGAGGGGGATGGACGTACATGCAAAAACAACCACCCCGTTGCAATGCCCACGACAAAAAACGCCGCGGCAGCAATATTCGGCAACGCAAACGGCCAATTCCTCAAAAACTCCGACCTTCCAAACAACCCCGGATGCTTCTCCGCGGGTCTCGCCAACGCGCCTCCAAACGCCGGACCAAAAATACTCCCGATCGTCCACACCAACGGCATGATACTAAACGCTCGTGGCTGGAGTTCCTTCTGGGGAACCATTTCCGCGACCATGGTGCGGATGATGCCCACGTTGCCGTTCATGAGACCCAGCAGGGCGCGGGAAATGACGAGCATGGAGAGGGATGAGGAGAAGCCGAAGAGAAGCGAGAAGACCATGGTGCAGGTGAGTCCGACCAGGATGATGGGCTTGCGGCCGAGAGTGTCGGAGAGGGTGCCCCAGGTGACGGCCATTAGGGCCTGCGAGAAAGAGGTCACCGCGCTGGTGATGCCGACCCATTTGGCGATTTCGGATTTGGGGACCCCGACGTGGTCGATCATTTCGGGCTGTACATTATTAGTTTTTGGTTTTAGTTTGGGTTGGATGTTTGGGGATTGGGGGGAGAGGATGTACCAGGTAGGGAAGGACGGAGGTCAAGACGACTGTTTTTGTTGTATATTTATTAGAAGTAATTTACTGAGAGGGTATGTTGAGTGAACGTACCCGGCTCTGCAAAGCGACATATTGCTATGTATATCGGTCAGTATACAGCTACTAATCAGCTTAGGAGATTCATTTGCAGTACATACAGAGAATGACCAGCTGCCGAACAGGCAGCCGGGCGGGTTTCTCCAACATGGTGAGCAGACTACCCCCAAAAAATATTTTGAAGAGAGGAATGAAAGAAGAAAAGAAGAGGAAGAGGAAAAGAAAAAAGACAAGAGGAGTAAGACTCAACAAGCAGCGCGTGTGACCAGGGCCAACCAACTAATCGGCACTCGGCAGTAGAAGACAGTCTTAAGACACGCTAAGCAGGCCCTAAAATGGCGAATAGCCTCGCAGTGGGTCGATCGCCGGCGGGGAAAGTAAGCAATCAATCACTTGAAGATAATCGGTAAGCAATCAACATGCCCGCTTCTAACTGCTATCTATCTACTTAAAAGTACTTCGTACTAATTTCCCTGTCGTCCTATCTCATACTTCCCAACTATCTCCAACGAAAGAATGACCTTGAAGACTTGCACATACACCAATAAGACATACATACATACACAATCTCCTCCCTTGACTTCCTTGCTTCAACGGCAGTCACCTGGCATCCGCCAATCGGCATTCATCTCCAATCACGTCCATCTGACTCACTGCAGTAGCTTCGTCGCAGCTTCAATGCGCTCAATGATAATCGCGCGCCATTTCTAGACCTCGTTAGCCGCTGAAATTAATCAGCTACGTAAATCTGGGTTTCTCACCTGAGAATTCAGCAAATCACCCGCTTCCAAGCTCTCCACCAATCCTGGGTACGTCGCGCCCGAGTATCCCGTCCAGATGCCTGGTGCAAACACTACGTGCTTAAACCAGCTGCGTCCATCCAGACCCGGCTGGTACAGGAACTGCCGTTCAATTCCCTTGTACTTGTCGTTGACGATGCGGATCTGGAAGTAGAGCCGCACCTTCCTCCACCAGTGGTACCACGGCACATCGTCGCCCAGCTGCTCAGTCAGATCCGCCGCATAGGCGTCGAATTTCGCTGACACGGCTTGGAACTTAGCGATCGCTGCGTCAAGCGGCCCAAAGTCGAACGATGCTCCCTCGGGGAGTTGCTTCGCCGCCGGCTTGATCTTGTCAAGATACTTCTCCAAGCCCAGCGCGTAGTCCGTCGCATTAAAGGCGATCACCGGCGTCTCCACCAGCTTGGCCGCTGCCAAAGCCCAGATCTTGGTGGTTGTCTCATGGTACTTCCAGCCCGGGTCGCCGAACCGATCCATCCAGTCGAAGCTGTCGTAGTTCGAGTGGTAGTGGTACACTGGGTCCTTCGGACCGCGGCTGAATCCAAGGTCGTAGCTCGCCACACCAGCAAAGTCCTGGAAGGCCGTAAAGTCACTGCCACTACCCATGGTGGCAATGTCACCGTCCCATAGGTCCCGGACGGTCTGCCCAGGCACAGTCTGGTTGGGCGACTTCACCAGACCAGTAACCTCGTAGATCAGCTTGTTCAACAGCGGGCTGGCCCTCGGGCGCAAGCTCGTTCCTGACGCCGCCACGTCCACGTTGAGATAGGCAATGTTAGCCTTGGACAACCAGGGCAGCTGCTCCTCCACCCATTCGGTGGATCCGAGCAATCCGTACTCCTCGCCGTCCCAGCTGGCAAAGACAATGGTACGGAGCGGCTTCCAACCAGCCTTGAGCGCCTCGCCGAAGCTGCGCACAACTTCGTTGAGAGCGGCAGATCCGCTGTTCGGATCTCCAGCGCCGCCGGCAATCCAGGCATCGCGGTGGTTACCCATGATCACGACTTCATCCGGGATGGCTCCCTTGATGACACCAATGACGTTCCACAAAGGAGTCGTCACGTACTCCTGCTCATTGTACAGATTGATCTGGACATCATCCGGGGTCGGGCCAATGTAGTACTCGACGCCCTTGCTGCCCAGCTTACCGCCCTGCCAGTATTCGTTCAAGTCGGACGCCTTGGGACCGTGGCCGTTCAGGGCCTTAAGCAACGGCACCACCTCCTTATACGAGATGGGCAGGGAGGGAATCAAGGGAATAGACTCATACGGATCCTGACGATCACATCCCGGCTTGGACGGGTATCCGGGGGTAGTCGGGTCACCCGGTGCGATACCTACTCAGTCAGCTTCATCCAACAACCAAGCGGGAAGATAGGATAACTTACTCAAAAACTGGGTACTTCCTCTCTGCACAGCACTCGGGTTTCTAGCCGGTCCCTCCGGATACGGAGCATAGCCATTCTCCTCGATAATCTCCCCATCGGACTCGGGATCATCATACAGAATAACCCCAGACATACCGAGTTCCTGCGCTCTCTTGACCTTCAATCCGCGGAAGATCCGTCCATACTTGGCAATAGCAATCTTGCCTCCCAGACTGACATTCCGATCCACGAGGTCCTGGAAGTCATCCACAGTACCATAGTTCACAAACACATACGGCGCCGTGACATTCCCACTGGCCGAGTATCCATGAAACACAGGCACGCGGTTAGGCAACCCACTGGTGTGGTCTTCCTCCAGCACGTCCTCTTCCAAGGTAGCCTCGAATACGACCTCGTCTTTCTTCAGCAATGCCAACCGATGATCCACAGGGTAATTGAGGAAGATATCATATGCCACGATCTCAGTCTCCGGGACCCCGAACTCGGCCCAGCGTTCCTTGGTCCAGACCGCCTGGCTGAGGTTCTTCCCGGCCAGGTGCGGACCAGCGGTGTAGTAGGTGCTCCATTCGCGAGCCTTCTGGGCGCTCGGGGTTTCTTTCAAGACGGCTTGGAGCTCAGCATAGCTGAGGCCATGGCCTTCAG